AAATGCGCGAAATGTTGTATTACACAGTCTGTGGTACCATGATGCAGCACAATTCACTGTTGCATGTTAAACCACAGAAGATGTAGATGAAAATGAATGTAATGGCTGAGGTGGAGGACCTGTAATGACACCAGAAAATAAGAAAATGTGTAAAAGCTTTATTAAAAGTTTAGTCCTGAAATTCTCATGGTAATCCAGGGAAGCAGGTTGGTGCATGGTCAGGGAACAGGCGTGGGTCAGGGCCAGATAAACAGCAGGTTCCATCCCAGCTCCAACCAGAGAGTGCTGCTGTTGTGTCCTTGGGCAAGACACTTAACCAACTTTGCCTGCTGTTGGTGGTCGGAGGGACCGGTGGTGCCAGTGTTCAGCAGGCCCGCCTCTGTCAGTGTGCCCCAGGGCAGCTGTAGCTACTATCTGGCTTATCACCACTGTAAGCATGTGAAAAGGGTGTGGCTGTTGTGTAAAGTGCTTTGTAGGCCTTGGACTTGATAAATTTCAATAAATGTGCAAGCCAATTACAATTTTTTTCAATTTGTAGGTGTTTCCCATTTGCTGTATAACCAAATACAACTTTTTCTGTGTTTTTTGTTTTATTTCTTTAGACTGGTTCCATCCGAGAAGTTACGAGAAACCTTATGGATTTACTGAATGCTCATCTACAAGCAGAGGGCCCGCAACAAACACCAACTGTGCCACAGCGCACAACACCAGCGACAACACCTTAACAGACTATCCCTCGGTCTACAGTTCATCAAGAAATGTCAAGGTAAGTTAAGTGTAGAAATGTAAATATTTGACATCTGTATTGGTCTATTCAGTGGTTTGAAATTAAATTATTCCAATGATGCTTTATTATTCATCTTAGAAAGAGGCTTTCTGCAATTGACTGTATTTTTTTTTTTACATAGTGAAATTAAATTCTGAAATAATGTAAGCAGTGTAGTATAGGCTACAGCTAGGGCTGGGCAATATATAGATATTTTAAAATTATGAATATAATTTTAAACGAGAAACAAGATGACTTTGTATTGATATAACTAGTCAAGCCACATAAGCTAGCAACTAGCTTGCTCCGTCTGTAAGCGGTCATTTCATGTATTCTCACAAATCTGCTCAATCAGAAAACCTCTGGGTAAATGTTCTGCCCTAAACTTTGCATTTGGCTTCATGGTTTTTAATTATTTGGGGATATTCGTTCATGTTTCATCAAGCCTGTTCACCGTGGTTACCAACGGAGTTCTGTTTACCCCTCCCTCCCTCGTGTAATTGGGAAACCACTACAGAGAGCCGGAGTGGCCAAATTACCTCAAACATGTTGTAATGGCTTCAGCTGTAAACGTTAGGGTTAACATTTAATTTTGAAGGTGAGTTCAGCGCTAAAAGTTTTTCTGGTTCCGGTTTTTGATGCTTTGCTATGGTCGGGGCTCAGCCACGTGAGTTCGGAATAGAACGGGTGGTTTCTTGTTCACATGTGATTCCCAGGGCTTCTCAGGAATGCGGAAATCCCCGAGCATGTGGGCGGCGGTAAAGACGCGCGGAAGAAGTCTGCGGTGTCCGCCTATGCTAAACAATAATTCCTCATCAAACCGCTGCACCAGCACACACTGCGCTTCTCTAATAATCTGCTCTCCTCTAATCCTTCCTACTTCAGCGCTGTAGTGTCCTCCGCTGCAGACGTGTCCTTATAACCGCTGCTACACACACACACTGCTGTCCTCCTCTGCTGCGGAGCGGGTGACAGCAGCTCAGTGCTTCATGTGGGCTAAACAGCAACCAGGATGAAAAGTAATCGCATATGCGGAAACCCCCCGGTGTTTGATCCAACTCCCCAATAGGAGGCGGTAGGTGTGAGTTTCAGCTGCCAATCAGTCCATAGTGTCTGCTCGGCACCAGCCGGACCTCCGAGGGAAGTAGTCTGAAAAAAAAGTCTCCTTAGAACGAAATACACACATGTGAGCCATATGTGAACAAAACATTTGGTTCCGAACGCATCCATGCCGACCCAGATGTGAAAGCGGCTTAAGTGAGGGAAAATACTAACATGGGATGACTGTGAGAATAAGGAGTAAAATAGTTTAGTTTTAAAAATAGTTTCCAGCTCAAAACAGGAGACTTGACAGGTGTGATCCTGGAATTGTGGATGAAGTCTGTCAGTGAAGCTCTTGGGATCACAGCTCCACCTCTCAGTTCAGACTCCACAGAGCTCCTAGTGTGTGAGTTCTTGTTCTCTTCTGTACTTTTAACGTTAACGCAGGAGAGTGTTTGCTGTTGTATTTCAGTTATAATGTGAACAACCACACAAAACATTAAATTTACTCAAAAATTCTGAATGGATTTTTAAGACCTGCCGTGTGAACGTAGCCTTAAGCCTGATTCATGCTTCTCCGTCTGCGTCAGTGCGGAGACACGCAACGTCCTTGCGTGCCTGCCGGAGAGCTCCGCAAGGACGGACGGAGTCAAGCTCTCTTTTCTAAACAGCCGTCAGTCGAGACAGACAACGCAAGCTTGTGATTGGTCAGGATGCCGCTGTTGTTTACAGCGCCGCCATTGCACCCTCAAAAACATAAAGAGAGCCGAGGATAACAAGCGGCAGACACGGAGCAGCTTGAAGAATACCTCGCGAAAAAACTCTAAAAACATGAACTTTTAGTTCCCCCGTGACTGGAGGAGAGAGAAGATGCGCAGCAAGCGTTTTATTTGTGGACGGAAATGACAGGAAACGTGGGTTTAGAGGTGGCGAGCGCATGAAGAGGTGGAGGAGAATGAGAGACAAATATGTCCGTGTTAAAAGTCTCTTATATACACAAAAAATACAATATAAACACATTATCTTGGACCAATACATGACAGGATACCACAGAACAGCGCTACGCCCTCTGTTGTCCTGCCGAGGAATTGCTTTGCAACACTCTCCAGGAGACGGAGAAGTATGAGAGCAAAACACTTCCGTCAATCCGTGCGTGTCTGTCCCTTGCGGAGCTGACGGAGAAGCATGAATCAGGCTTTAGACAGCATGTTTCTCTGTACATAAGCCGTACCATAGACATCATTGGCTGCTGGAGAGTAACTGCTTCACCGCCATATTGAGTAGGTTTCTAACTCCAAAACCCAATTTGAATCCAGTCATTGGAGCAACTATGCCTGTTTTTGTGCAGCTCACAGTTCCAACAACCAGCAGTTACATCTGCCTGTAAGCTTTGTTTGTTAATAAAGTTATATAAAAATAAAAAAAAAACTGTTACGTCACGATCTCCTTGCTTTCTACAGGAAGTTTAAAAAATTATTTCAATAAAGATTGAAACACAAACATGAAGCTAAATGAGGAGCTCTATGAACATACTGAACGCCGCTTTAAAAGATACTGAATGTGAAATATGGCATTTCTCTACTGCTGACTGATGAAAGGGAGTCCGATGTGCCTGTTGTCATTTTGCAGGAGGTTGAACGATCTGACAAGGTAGTTAGCCCGTAAAAAAATTGTGCTGCAACACTCCCAGGGCTTTTTTTGGTGGCCTTTACGGCTATTCATTGGTAGGCTCATCACGGAACACAAAAATGTAGCTTGTTTGTTATGATTTAGGTACGTACTGCCCCCTAGTGGCAGAAAACTACAGACTGTCGCTTAAAGAAATAGCATAAAATGGCCAGAGATGCAATTCAATATATATTCTCTTCTACGGTTTTAAAATTTTGAAATAATTATCTATCGATCGATTAGATTTTTTTAAATTAATATGCTTTTATTCATCAACCAGCCCTAAAACCTACTAAAGGTTAAACATTTTAAATTGCAAACTGTACTTAATTACGGTGATGCAAGTAAATGACAATTACACCCCTGCAAAATAGTAAAAGTTCTAAATCAAAACCATTTTGAATTTTTGTTATTCTTGTCCCTGCTATTTGTAATTTTTTTTTATCTAATTTTGACATATAGTAATCCTGCACAACAATGTGATAATTTGGTTTCTATTAAAATTTAGGAAATTTTGATTATTTGTTGACAAATTGCAGCTCAATATAGAAACATCATCATTGTTCTCTTGTTGTAATGTCAGGATTTCCAAGAGCCAGACATCGACTGGGATGTTGCTGCAGAGTACAGCCCAGATGTGGACGGTGCTGCTGTGGTCCCGGAGTTCGACAGTCCCCTCACTGAAGAGCAGCATGCTGAACTGCATCCATGCTTTCGTTCTTTTTTAAACACAGAAACAGTTTTGTTTACCTGTTAGTAGCTACAGTTTCGCCGACGGCTGCCGGCTTCTTCAGGCTGACGCTGTTGGTGGCGCGTCACTTCCTTCTCCGTTTATCTGCGGGCAGCAGAGACAACTGCCCGCAGATAAACGGAGAAGGAAGTGACGCGCCACCAACAGCGTCAGCCTGAAGAAGCCGGCAGCCGTCGGCGAAACTGTAGCTACTAACAGGTAAACAAAACTGTTTCTGTGTTTAAAAAAGAACGAAAGCATGGATTTAGAAAGACACAGCAAGAACACACCTAAGATGCTGAACTGCAGTTGCTACTGGCACAAAATTGGGAGCGTTCAAACACTAAGGAACTTTATCTATTGTGCAGAGAATATGTTAATGCTGCTTTGTCAGATTAATGTGTACTTGAAATAAAAAATCAAGAGATCAGTTCCAGTGCTTTTATTAATGTTACAAAAGAAATACATAACATGTATTTGAAATGGCAATAAGCCTAACTTTATGGATTCATGTAACAATGTCGCTTTCTAGCTCCAAAACATTACATTATTTAACAAAACCATTTGTATTTTTGGAATCAAAGTTAAATATGAACCATTATACAGTAACCTGAACCCAGAACAGTGGCCATCTTGTTTTCACTTAATGTCTGCTAAAATCAAATCTATCACAGACTGCCTGAGTAAGCTGACTTTCAAAGTCAGTGTATGTAGTGACGTGCCGTGTAGGTAAGGTGATTAAGTGTGGTCCATACCGGGTGGTACTGTCGTGATCAACATTTAGTTATTTTGTAAAATTCTCTTTCTGTGTCTGTTAGTGGCACATGTGCCTGGCCTGAAACCCACTGAAAAAAATCCTTGCACTGACAACTGCTTTGCTCCACAGCCATCTGATGGGCTCCCATCTTGGTCATCTGTTCCTGAAGGGTGAAAAAAAAATCAGTGTGTCACTAACATGATTGAGGTACTGATTACCTCTCTGTAATTAAGGTGTAATGGCTAAATCAGTTTCAAAACAAATATATTTATAATTTATTTTTAAATTTTTTTTATTTGATGGGGGATTGGGTGAAACACAATGGTCTCTCTGACACTTCAAAATTTTCTCAATCAATCAATTTTTATTTATGTAACACCTTCCACTGCCTTTGCAGGAGCCCAAGGCACTGAACATAACAATTTTAAAAAGAGCTAAGCATTATGAGCAGTAAAAGTGGAATAATCCTGCATGGTTCTGTGGCTACCTCCTTCTTCCAGGTTTTGCAAGAGGTCCTGCAAAAAGTTGATCATGTCCACTTCCTTTGTGTCTTACTGATCCATTGTCACTGTACTGAGGAGCCAGTGCCTCCACAACGAAGTCTGCATCCACCTACAAAAGACGTTTTTAAAAATACTGTGAATTAAAAAGATAAAACTGTTAGGGCTGCTTCTGCTTATCCTGCAGAGCTAAATTAATATAAGAAAATGAAGATGTATACCACTAAAAAATATGTAAAACTTCATTGCCATGATATTAGAATAAAAAATACATCTGATAGCTTCCTTAAAGAAAACTTAAAATTGCTGTCTGTAAAAAAAATGATAGCTGTAAAAAAATAAATTGGGGCAAACAATGTTAAACAAACAGATTATTGTACTTGTGAATCGATTTGATTCTTAGTATTTTTATAAGAATCGGTTAGAACTGTTGATGGAACAAAAACAGCTTCAGCTTCTCTGCATTTCCTATATGTTTTTGTAATGGACATATTTTTTTTGCAGAGGCCTAAAGAATTTGTACTTACCTGTTTAAGGTTCCCAGGAAGAAAGAGGGGCTGAAGTGCCTGGTGGTGTTGTGGCAACAGCTCATCCAAACCCTAGATGGCCAGTCCTTCTCTAAGCTGACTTAGCATCGGTATGAGTCTCATCACCGAATGCAAACTGATGGCCCTAGTAAAAAGAATAATGAACTTGTAATAACTCAATTTTCAAAAATTGCATGACTTGTTTAATGCTACATTAACATACTCAATGATGGCCTTTTTGCAATTGCTGTGAATTGACCAGTGTAGCCACATGCTACAATGGCATCAGAAAGGTCTGTCAGTGCGTCTTCTTCGGCACGTTCGACCTTCAATCAGAAACACTTGTTAGTACAATTTACAGAAAATAAATTATTCTGTTTAATTTACCTCCTGAATCAGGTTCTGGATTGCCGTATCAGTCACCTCTGGCACATCTTCATTTGTTATTTGTCCATGACGCAAGAAATGGTAAGACCAAGTAGAAAAGAAATTCGGTGCTGGTCCTGCTTGAACCAAGCTGGTGGCAATGATCTCCCCACAGATCCTGAACACAAAACAAGCCAAGTTACACTGCAGAGCAGCATCATACTGTACATACCTGTAGTTGTTTTCCTGGTAGTAAGAGATACTATATTTGGGGTTTTGCCTTTGCATGAAACTCCTTCAAATAAGTTCAACTCAAGGCCTCGCATCATTTCTATTGGGAAAAAAGAAATGACAGTTTGCCATTTTCAACTATATTCAAAGTTGGTATGTTGACATTAGCAAGGAATACATACCAGTTAGGAACTCTCGGCGTAGTGCTCCTTCATCAATGTCGTGTTCTCCAATAAAGGAAACAATTAGCTGGTTTTTGTGGGAAGCCTGCTTCTGTCTGGCCCGCTGTTTCAGACCTCTCTGGTAAAGGTCGTCCCTTGTCACATTAATGTTAAAGGTTTTAGTGTTGTCAACTCTTTCTTGTAGGAACTTCAGGATGTCTGATAAGCTATTGACAACAACATTGTGTTTATTATTATTTATTTTAAAACCTACACATTAACACAAATATTTGTAAAAATTCTAACCAGATTAAGTGCTTGGAAGAGTCATCCACATCCAGTATGATGCTGTTCAGATGTGGAAACAAACAAAAAAAAAAAGATTAAACTCTCATAACATATTGTGTACAACGTGCATGGGTAAAAACATGCACCTGTCCTCTTCCTCCTTCACCACAAAAGCTGGCATGCAATTGTATAGACTCCTGAGTAAATTCTTATCACACAATGGACAGGAAACCTATTAAAGACATTTTTTTAAATCAGTGACCAACAATCATTGTTAAGTAAACAATAATGATTAACATGAAATGTAATTAAAATATTCTGTATATTGCTAACGTGCATGTTTGAAGTTTGATTTAAAGGGATATTCCACCCTATGTGAAAATTTGTCTACTGTCTAAATTGGCTCCTGCAAATGTGTTACTTCTTACTTTTCATTTGCAGTCAACATGATTATTGAGCTCAACAGGAATAACTGGTATCATAATTTAGTAATTTTACAGTTTTGCACACAAAATGCTACTACCTCCCATTAAGTTACATGGTTTATTCTCATCTAAAGCAGACAGACTGCTGGCAGATAAGAATTACTGCGCTGGTTAAAACAATCCTTTTTCATTCACTTATCCAACTCTGGGGAATACGGCACTAGAAAACATTTTTGGATCTTTCCCTGACACATATCTAGCCCCTCATAACTCGATCCCCAGTTCCTGGATAAAACACCGGACATTTTATTCCATGTAGGACCCTAATCCACCTAGCTATGTGCCCCTGTTGCAATATTAAATGCGAGGAGTCGTAAAAAGTAGCATAACAAAACAATTTTATGGAATAAACTGCAGCTAGTAGCCTTGAAAAATAACTTACTTGAGCGTCTTGTTGGTTCTGGTCCATTTTGCTGGTGCAGGTGAAACTCTCGCTCCAGATCAGAGCGGGTATTAGCCAGGCTGTTAGTGCGCAGATGCGGCAGCCACACAGGAAAATCCACAGAGCGCAAAACGAGCGCACCCCAAAGAGGTTTGTTCCCGCCCAGTCCCACAAGTCTTTCTATTGGCTGAGCGGTTGCTAGGAGATTGTACTTCTAAGTTTTGAGCGAGAGCAGACAAGATCCGTGAGAGCAGGGGACAGACTTGTGGGAGGAGTTTTGATCCGTGCAGAGAAAAAGCTGTCACATGAGAAGACAATACCAGTGTAAGAAGGTTAAATCTGAGCGCAAAAACAAAGATTTGAAGGAGAACAGAGTGAATTTGAAAGAGAGCAGACATTTTGAGCGCAAGCATTACAAGTTTTGAGAGCAATAATATAAAATAGTATTCTGAAATTAAAAAGATGGTCTCTTGATATGAAATTCTGCTCTCAAATTGAAAGTTCAACTGCTCAGTTTCTGGCACTTTAATTCTTCCACGCCTCCAGAGTGCCAAAACTCCCAACAGCCGAGCGAGCAGAATCAGAAACCGAGCGCGCAGAAAGGCTGCCACACGTGCAGTGAGGCTGCCGCACCGAGCGCGCAGTGAGGCTGCCGCGCGCATGTTTTCCTCTGCCGTGTGCTCGTTGGCCAACGAGCGCACGCAGGTTTGTCACTTGTGCACATCCTTGTGCGCTCACAGACACAGTTTGCTCCCTCTCAGTGTACAAATGACCTCCTCGCCATGTATATTTTCACTCATGAGGTTCTAACCTCCACGCGCGAGTCCCGTTCGCACGAGCGATGTGCACAATACGCGTGCACGGGTTTTGGCTACGCTTGCACGGGTTTTGGCGGAAACCTGACACCATAAGAGGGTACATAACCTTCAGTGGAATAGCTCCTCCATCACGTTACAGGTTAGACGAGTCAGGATGGTCCCGCCTGTTTCCTGCTGTAGAGAACGGACGATCAGCTTGCTTATGAAAGGAAAACATTCAAACTGGTTCTGATCAGCTGCAGAATGTAAACACACAAATCTGTTTTGGTTTCACTTTAGACCAAAAGCATCCAGTTAAACAACGATCCTTGTCCTTCTGTTCATCTCAGATCCGGTGGTTCCATCAGTAATCTGACAGCAGCGTTCTCCACAGGAAGAGCACCATGTGGGTTCCTGCTGTCCTGATCTTTGGTTGGTGTCTCTCAGGTCTCCTGAAGCCAGTCTAAACAATAGTCCTGAGGAAGTTTCTAGTAAAGGCTCCTTTTCCTGTTTGCTCATCCCAGGGCTCCTTCTTCCTGAACGATTTGCATCCATCTATGAAGCAGAGGAAAACGACAACATCACCATCAGCGTCGTCTCTGACCGCAACATGATCTGCTTGCTCCTCTCAGACCCTAGAAGGGTTTTCTACCGGGTGACAAATGGTGTCCAGGCTCCAGAGTCTCCGCATCAACAGTTTGCAGGACGGCTTCATTTTGAGAGAGACGAAGGACGAGTCTCGTTTCACCTGTCCAGAGTCACAGCTGAAGACTCCGGAAGGTACCGGTGTTACCTGGCTGCCAAATACAACGAGAACTTACACGACTGGGACTTTAACACTACAGGTAAAGGTTTAAACACGCGTGTGTGCTGCTGTCCAGCTGTGCTGCTACTGACTGTTACTCCTTCGTTCTGACAGAGATATTTACCCTCAGAATAAGTCAGTCTTCACGTGGAGACAACACTGATGTGTCCGCCAGCACACGGGCGCCACAACTCAAAGCAGGTGGGTTAAAACAGGTTACAGATGTGTAAGATCTACAAGAAGCAACTTGTTTGTGTTGAATATTTTCATTATTTACTGGTCGACGATAGCAGAGCATGAATTATGAATTAATGTTTGTTATGTAGTCATAAAAACATGAAAGGAAGCTGGCATTTGCCTTCTGTAGTCCTCCAGTGGAGGAGTCGTGTTGATGAAGTAGAGCTCAGAAAAAAATAGATGTAAGAAAGAAAGAAAATGATCTTTTATGAAGCGCCTCTCAAGATAAACACCATGAGGCGCTTCATAAAAACTAAAAAAAAATAAAATATAGAAAAGATTTAAAAAAAACAATTAAAAATATGTTCAAAATAAGAAATAAATAAATATTGTGATAAAAATGTAAGGAGAGGGAGAGAGAAAATTAATAGGAAAGAGGGAAATCAGTGGATCCCGGGAAAGTCGGAAAAAGAACAGAATAAAGAGAGAGAATGGTGATGAAGGTCATACAAAAGCCAGCTTGAACAGGTGAGTCTTCAGCTGCTTTTTGAAGGAGACCACTGAGTCCACTGATCTCAGGCTCAGGGGGAGAGAGTTCCAGAGTCTGGGGGCTACAGCAGCAGATGATCTGTCACCTTTGGTCTTTAGCCTGGTGCTGCACAACCAGTAGGCTTTGATCACTGGACCTCAGGGACCTGCTGGGGGTGTAGGGACTAAGAAGATCACCAATGTAAGATGGTGCTTGTCCATGTGAGGCTCTAGACCAGAACCAGGATCTTGAAATGAACCCTGAAGTTGACTGGCAGCCAGTGAAGCTGGAGGAGAAGCGGGGTGATGTGGGTGTGTTTGGAGGACTTGGTCAGAAGCCGAGCACAGGCATTCTGAACCACCTGTAGACGGTTCAGGGAGGTTCTGCTCAGACACGTGAAAAGAGAGTTACAGTAGTCTAAGCGTGAGGAGATGAAGGTGTAGACAACTGTCTCAAGTTCAGAGCGGGACAGAATGGGACTCAGCTTAGCAACGTTCCTGAGATGGAAGAAGGAAGAGCGAAGAGAACTGACATGAGAATCCAGGGTGAGAGCTGGGTCAAAGGTCACGCCAAGATTCTTGACAGAAGCTTAGGTGTTAGAAGCAAGCTGACCAAGAGAGTCTCTGACTTTGGAACCAGCTTGTCTGGGACACAGATGAGGATCTCAGTCTTATCTTCATTCAGCTGAAGAAAGCTCCCAGCCATCCAGGTTTTGATAGAGTCTAAGCAGGTGTGTAACAGCTGCAGCTTACACATCTCATGGGGCTTAAAGGAGATGTACAGCTGGATGTCATCTGCATAAAGATGGTAGGAGATTCCTTTGAAGGAGCTCAGGATGTGCTGAAGAGGAAGCAGATAGAGGAGGAAGAGCAGAGGCCCCAGCACAGAACCTTGTGGGACACCATGAGTGAGGGAGGTGGTGGAGGACCTAAACTTGGAGATGGCCACAGAAAAAGAACGCTAAGACAGATATGAGAACCACTCCAGAGCAGATCCTGATAGGCCTACCCAGTCTCTCAGCCTCTCCAGTAGCAGGTGATGGTCAACAGTGTCAAAGGCTGCAGTCAGGTCCAGCAGGACCAGGAGTTGTTTGACCACAACCTTTTCCAAGATCTTGGAGATGAACGGAAGTTTGGAGATGGGTCTGAAGCTGCTATGAAGAGAGGGGTCAAGACTCGGTTGTTTAAGAAGTGAATGCTGTCATTAAACCAGGGAGTGGGGTTCACTGCAGGAACTGATCTGGTTCTGACAGGACAGATGTTGTCCAGAATGGAGAGGCATTGCTCGTTAAACTGAGAAGTTAATGAATTTGGGTCATTATCAGAAGAACTGGGTGGATCAAGATGGATCAGTAGTGGGGAAACTTTCACTTTTATTTTGTTTGTTTTGTTTTCTACCAGCCAAGAATGTCGTTCCACCACAGAGCCACGCCCACTTTATACAAAACAAGTTAAATGTAGTTTTTAGTAAAAATCACCTTTGAAGTTTAATTGAACTCAGGTCATTTTTACTGAAAGTTCAGGTCAGAAAATCTTACCCAGAAGTTCAAAAGAATCTTTTTCTTTCTTGTCTGTTGATTCATTAAAGTTTCTCTCTTTTCTCCTCAGATGTAAATCATTGCATCACAGGTTCAGGACATCAGCAGCTTTCATGCAAGAATTCACTCAAACACGGCTGGATTCTGGGCTTGGTGTTCCTGCTTCTGTGGATGGTTTACCTCACATACCTGCTGGTCAGGTGGTGTCAGCGATACGTAGGCTCCACGGTAGGATTTCTAAGCGTCATTCATTCATCTTCTGCTGCAAGAAGACATTTGAATTATCTCCAGTCTTGTACTTTCTGTATTTCCTGATTTCATTATACCACCTTCTCTCATCATTCTAATCCTTCAGATTAAATCCACAATAAAGAAAAAAATCATTTCACGTCGCTGCTTTGATCAGACTGAGCATCCCAGTTCCCTCCAGCTGTGGTCTGATGAAGATGGAGGATTTAGACCATAAGCAACCACACTGAGTGTTACTTCATGCGCGCGTGCACACACACACACACACACACACACACACACACACACACACACACACACACACACACACACACACACACACACACACACACACACACACACGTTTACTGTAACAAAACCAACAGACTGCAAAATATAATTTCAGTGTTAATCTAATTCTAATTTACTGTCATAAAAATCTGATAATTTCATCGATTCAGATCATTTTAATTTTAGATGTTTCAATCTAAGTTTGAGTGTAAAATGTTCCATTTTACGGTATTTTAAATAAAACATTTCAGAGATGAATCTGTTGTTTTTCTGTGTGATGAAGAAATTCTTGTTCAGGACTAACAGTTGAAATCCAGAATCCAACCTGATTGGATAAAGGTTGATGACCTCCCAACTTTGACAGATGCTGAACCTATCAGAATAAATTAGTTTGTAAACTAAAAGAAACAACAAAGTTCACAGATTCATAAACAAACCAGAACCCAGTCTTGTACCGCCACCTGGTGGACAAAAGGTGACTTTTCAGCTGCTTGACTGGATTCTAGTCTGGACTTTGGATTCGGACACACCCTGGGACAAACTTCAGAAGATGAACATGATCGTTCTGTTCTCATCCATCAGAAATCGGTTCCTGCTAGCTGATGTTTTTGGACTGAAATATTCTTGTTGAAAGGTGACAGATGAACTCCACTCAGCTGAAGTTTAATAATTTAGCTCAGTGATCAGCAGAGGAGACAGAGTGTTTTGGTGACAATCTTCATCAGCTGATTCAGAAAAGCAGAACATTGTGTCCGTTGGCTCCAGAAGTGGACTTAATCATTAATTTTATTATTACAAATAACAGAGCGAACGACTTGTCTGACCTCAGACGACTGACGATCAGGTAGGTTTCACCTGAAAATAATAAAGAAATAGAAGAAAAAGACAATTCAAAACAATCAAATGTAACAGAAAACTGTTATTTTCTCCTCGTCGTAAAGTAGCATCGCTCCAGATTCAGAGGTTTCAGAGGTTTCAGCTATCAACATAAAACAACCATTAAAGGAAATCACCAGGGGCCTCATTTATCAAGCTTGCTTACGCACAAAACAGGGTCGGAAAACTGCGTAAGCAACTTTCCACACAAACTTTGGGATTTATGAAAGAAAACTTAGCGGAAAATGTGCGCAACTTTAAGTTGACTAAGGACCTGGCGTACGCACATTTTGGACGTGGAGAGCACCTGCAGTGCTGCTGCTGAGAAGGATACAATTATGAAATCCTGCAGCGTTATCACTTGTACTGCTTCATTTTCACACAGAACAAGACCCTCCACGCACACACACGCATGCACACACACACAGCCTGAAGCGCAGAATACGGAATGCAGAATATCAGCAGGGGGACAGATTGAGACAGAATGTCATGCGTCTGTGGCAGTGTGTGTCCTGTCACTGTGACCCGATTGATCATGCACCCTGGCTACTTGGACAAGGGAGATCCTGTTTGGCTGACTGGTTAGTGTGTGTAACTTTCACCTGGGAGTCTGGAGATCGATTCCTGTTTGGATCATCTTTTTTATATCCGCCACAGAACTCAGCATTATGTGCCTGATCACGTGATTTTTATCTTGAGAGGCGCTATAGAAATGATATTTTCTTCTTCTTGACAGCTTCAGCAACGCTGTGCCACTCCGTAGATTTTCTCTTATTTGTTCTGCAAAAGCACTTCCTTTCATTTCTCCACCTCAACTTCTGCTATTTTTAAGGTTGTTAAATCTCTTTGATCTGATTAATTCAAAAGTAAGTCTTGAAGCGAAAAAGTAGGAAGCCAGGCAGCAGTTTTTCTGGAGGATTGAGAGGAGATACAGAAAAACTAGAGACAGACAGGACAGGAAAATAGTTAAATATAAACAAAAAAACAAAAAAAAAAGTGCTTTAAAATGAAAATGTAGGAAGATTTATCCCACTACACATTTTTATCTTTATAAAGCAATAACAAATTTGCATGAAAGTGCAATGTATGAAGAATGACGGCAATCTTGAACTTCGTTTTCTTTTAAAAACAAAAAACAAAAATACATGATGACCAGGACATAGAACTGTTTATTTCTTGGCTGAACAAATTCAAACGTAAGTTTGTTGCTTTTATCTGCACTGTGAAACATCATTTTGGAGTGTGTTACTATATACATATAAAAACAGGAATACAGGATTTCATACGTTACACCTTTTATTAGTCACTGAGTGTACATATAAAATATGAGTTAGTAAAAGATTGATAATTTTTTAAGTTCTCAATTGTGCCACCAAATACAAATGTCCTCTAAGAATTTATTGAAATCACTGTTACGTATTTTTATTTAAGGAGTGGTTATGGATGGATCACTGAAAGCATCTTACTTAAGTAATTAGGAAATTAGACTGGGGACAGACCGAACTGTCAAAAACCTCTTTAGAAAAAGTGTTTATGAAAAATACAAACTTTTCTTAAAAAATAAATGTAGACAACCCTTCATATTTCAACGATTATTTATATTCAGTTTAACAAATTCTGTTATAAACAAACTAAACTTTCTAAACATTATCTCTACGACTAAATGGCTTAAGTTTGTTTAATTCAAGAAACAGGCATATAATATTAAAAATATTACCCTTTCCTGTAACCCATCAAGCTATTAGCGTGCACATGCACGCACACACACACACACATCAATGAATCGAGTATTTTCATACTCAACAGTTTTTATGTTTTACCCGACAAGTTTAAGAAAATAGGCACTCTCTTCCTCTGGGGTTCCTTGGTCCTCATAAAAAAGTTCTGTTATTGAAGTTTTGTTTCCCCATTTTCTACATGTATATTAATTAACTTCTATTTACTTACTAAGCCAGTAAAAACGTAAGGACCTCAACATAAATCCTTGCTGTTGGTCTAAAATACTAAAAGTAAAGTTATACTTGCTCCTCTCTGCAAAATGCTGACTCCCTTAAAAAAACACTATTGTCAAAGATCTAGAATTTATATTGATTTAATAGTTTATTAGTGGTTTTAGTTTTTAACACACATTGGTATAATTGGTGTAATTACAGCAAGATTATAGGGGTGTGCCATGGTTGGATTCAATTTCTATTCAGGGTCCTTCAGTTTGATCATGAAATGATTAACAGTTTTGATGCCTTTATGATTTGTTTTGTTTTGATCTGTGAAACACTTAAGTGAGTTGACGGGTTCTACCATAACGTGAGTGTTCAACTGAAGGTGGGTGGTGCCGAGGAGCGGGCAGCTGCAGCAGATTCTCCATCACCGGTCTGTGCTTATAAGGAGCAGGGAAACAACTCCACCTTGCCGGATGATTACTCAGTTTGGGTATCCTTTCCACAACCAGCTCTCCAGCCATAGCCAGACGAACCTCATCTCTGGACCACGTCCTCTCTGCCCAGCCAGACCGACCCGCTCTCCACCACTCACCCTGTACTCGCCCACTCTCCAGAGAACCTTTCTCGAGCCCAAACCCTCCTCAGACCTGACCACCTCCCTCTCCAGCTCCAGTCTTCCCTCCTCTTAATCGACCGCCACGTCACGAGCCTGTACGGACCCTCGCCTCACTTCGACGGAGCTCCCTTGGTTCTCCTTTCTAAGAATAAATATAGTTTTCTCATTTTTTCATCCCTCCCCCGATTGATTCTGTATGTCCTGGGTCAGGAGACTTAGCCACAACATGACACTTTGTGATTCTGTCTGTGACGAGTGCTATATAAATAAAATTGACTTACTTATACCACCATTGCATAATATTTAGTGAAAAACACACGATTGTGCTACATTACTGCCACAGACTGACCAGAAAAACAACCAAAGGCTCTCTGGTGCCGTCTCAGCTTTGCAGCGCCGTAGTTTTATGTAACAGGCTGGAGTTGTGGCAAGTTTTGTTAATCTTCCTCGACAGTTGGGAGGAACCACTGGCTTCGTCTCTTCAACTAACCTGGAAAAGAAATGTGTAAGGTGCTGCTGTGTTTTAACTTTCCTTTAATCTTCTTGATGAGTAAATCTTCAAAAACTAAATATTAAAACTAGTAAACAAGCTTTCACCATTGCTGTTTGTTTTGTCTGGTGGTCCGTCCCCTAACTTTTATGTTCCCACCACGCTTTGCGGCTACTTTTTGAGCATTTCTTTATCTTCGCTTTAGGGCTGGGCAATAAATAAAAAATGTATCGTTATCGAAATTTCTGACTCTTACTGAGATAGTTTTCCCCATGTCAATAAAATTGATAATGAAAAAATGAAAATATGTGTGTAGGTTGGCAGCGTTCATGTCCCTTTAAGAAGCTGTACCACCTTGAGTTGACTCAAGGTAATACATGTGACAGCCCCATCTAGTGGACAACTTTTGTTTCTGCACATACCTGTAGCTATCGTCCATTTATCGTTAACGAGGTGAAATCCTCAATATATCGTGATATTGATTTGAGGCCATATCGCCCAGCCCTAATTCATGTATGTAAGTTTTCAAATTTTTCAAATCTATTTGGAATCAGCATGTGTCATAACTAGCGATGGGTACAGAATTCGGTACTTTTTAAGGTATCGACCGAATTCCATAGTACCGACTGAGCACCGATTCACGTCATTTGAAACGGTGCCTCGTTTCGGTACCCGTCCTTCTTTACGAGAACTTGCCTAGACAGCTGCGCATGCGCAAGAGCGTTATGTCGTCGGTCGCTGCGAGCCAGTTGTAAACAGAGCAGCATGGCAGAAAGAAAAAACGCATGCTAACGCTTGGGTCCACTTCACTAAATGTGATGGGTAACTGGGTGATGATGAATCCAGCGACAACAATCTAAGTGAGACATCCTCATCTTAATCTGCTCCAGTAGGTAAATAAAATGTTTAAGATAACGTTAGCTTGATATGTTTGCTTCCGTTTCGCTAATGGTGCGTTCGCTTTCTCCTCAGAGCTCCAAATTTCCGACTAGAAGAACATGAACGCGCTCTAAAGTTTGGCTTCACTTTACTAAATGCGACAGGTGAAGATGAAACCAGCGACAATGATCTAAGTGTGAGGCATCGTCGTTTTAATCTGCTCCAGCAGCTAAATAAACTGTTTAAGATAACGTTAGCTTGATGAATTAGCTTCCATTGCCACCATGTTATCAGCTAATGGTGCGTTCGCTTTCTCCTCGGAAATTCTAACTTCCCAGTAGGAAAAATCAAATGAAAAAAGACGGCAAAAGGAATGAAGATACACAGTAAATTTAGTTCACAGTAAAGATGTTTGCTTCAGTTTAATTATCAGCTTATAAAACTACAAGGACGATGTTAAAATACAATCAGTTGTATGTTATTTATCATGATATTTATCAAATATTGTTATATGTTGAGAAAAATATATATTTAATTATAAAAGAGAATTAAAATATTAAACACTCAAAAGTATCTAAAATTGGTACCGTTAAGTACCGGTATCGATTCGTAGGTACCGGGAATTAGTACCGAATCGATTCAAATGTCAAAGGTACCCATCCCTAGTCATAACGATGTATCGATTAAACGGTGGATCGGCACACCCCTACTAGATTAGTATGTATGTTTGACAAAGTAAATATACCCTGAAAAGTAAGCAATCCCATTGCGGCTATTTGTCAGTTACAGTTAATTCCTGAGGAAGTACCCTCTAATAAAGAGTACAACAAAACTACTAGCAATAGTAGCGGAAACTGAAATACAGATTCTCACCAACAACCCTGAGAATAACCTCTCTACTTCAGGTGAACGAACTCAGCTGTGTCTCCATCAGAGTAAAACAGAAGCCCGGCGTAGAGCGGCTGAGTGAACGTGGTCTGGATTCTGTGGAGGGGGGTCATGGTTTCAGACACGCTGTAGAAAGAGAGAACACCTGCTCTGTGATCCAGGTACACTCCTACTCGGGAGGTACAAAAACCTGAAACTGGAGTTTTAACGTTGTTGTGCCAAAACGTGTAACTGTTCCTGTCGCAACATAACGCCCAAGATCTGTCATTGCAGCCTAACAAGCACTCATTTAGGCGTCCGGCTCGTTTGATGTTCTTGTATGTGACCGCCACGCGAACCCCCCCACGTTTTGACTCCACCTCCCAGTAACAGCGTCCAGTCAGACGCTCTCTGTTCAGGACCTGATGCCAGGCTGTAAATCTGTCTGGATGATGAGGATAGGACTGCTCTTCCTTCATATATGTTGCTTTTGTTTTGTCCTCGGACAACAGGAGATGGGCATGCGCCGTGTTCTCATCCAGAGTGATGTCTTGTGAAAATTTGAGGAATCCGGCTCTGCTCCTTGGTTCTGGCTGTGGCAGTAAAACATCAACTTCAGCAACTCTCAGTGAGATGTTTGTCCAGCTGTCCCTCAGCACGTCCTGCAGCTTGTCTCTGAGCTCTGACACAGCTTCTGTCACGTCCTCAAAGTGTCTCCGAGGACGAACGTTGATGCTGGATGAGTGTGGAGACCCACTGAGTGCTGACACTGAGGGGTAGTTGTGTAGAAACTGCTTGTGATCCTCTGTGTGTGACAGCTGCTCCAGCTCGGCGTCTTTCCTCTTCAGCTCAGTGATCTCCTGCTCCAGCTTCTCCTGAAGCTCCTTCACTCGCCTCACTTCAGTTTCCTGCTGGGATCTGACCTGCTGCTTCACATCAGAGCTTCTTTTGTGGATGAGGTGGACCAGCTGATGGAAGATCTTCTCATTGTCCTCCACTGTTTTATCAGCAGAGACATTGATGCCCTCCACCTCCTGCTGAAGAAGCGCCACATCTTCTTCTTTGTCCTGGATTCTCTGCTGGATTTGTTGTCTCCTCACCTGGAGCTCCTTCTGCTTCTCAGCTCTTTCTGCTGTAACTGAGACTGTTTCATGTCCTTTATGTTCATCCATTAAGCAGAGATAACAGATGAACTTTTCATCGGTATGGCAGAATATTTTCATCACCTCATCATGAAAAGAGCAGATGTTCTCCCGGAGGTCCATGCAGGGCTCCACCAGCTTGTGTTTTTCAAAGGCAGGGGATTCAAAATGAAGCTGGAGGTCTTTCTCACAATAAGAGGCCAAACAGACCAGACAGGACTTGACAGCTTTCAGTTTCCTCCCAGAGCAGACATCACAGGACACATCTTCAGGTCCAGCATAGCTGTGGTCTCCTGCAACTTTTCGCAGTCCAGCCTTCTTCAGCTCCTCCACTAAAGCTGCTAACATGTTGTTTTTCTTCAAGACAGGCCTGTGTCCAAAGGTGTGTCCACAGTGAGGGCAACTGTGAGGTTTTTCTCGGTCCACTTCATCCCAGTGGGCTTTAATACAGCTCATGCAGTAGCTGTGTCCACAGGGAATGGTCACCGGATCCTTCAGCAGATCCAGACAGATGGTACAGGAGATAGAGTCTTGGTTCAGCTCATCTGCTTTTTGCTCCATTTTTCTTACTGCTAATAGCTGATCAAGCCCGTTTTTACAAAAATATATCAGGATATCTGAATATGGTCTTAAAGAGAAAGGATGTCCACTCCAGTCAGCTTCTGCACCTTAGTTTGTCTTCAAGTTTCCAATCTAAAAAAGGACAAGAAAAAACTGTTATTTCAACTATAACCTAATCTATCTATCTACCTGTCTGTCTGTCTGTCTATTTATCTATCATCTGTCTATCTATCTACAGTGGGGCAAAAAAGTATTTAGTCAGCCACCGATTGTGCAAGTTCTCCCACTTAAAATGATGACAGAGGTCAGTAATTTACATCATAGGTACACTTCAACTGTGAGAGACAGAATGTGAAAAAAAATCCATGAATTCACATGGCAGGATTTTTAAAGAATTTATTTGTAAATCAGGGTGGAAAATAAGTATTTGGTCACTTCAAACAAGGAAAATCTCTGGCTCTCACAGACCTGTAACGTCTTCTTTAAGAAGCTTTTCTGTCCTCCACTCGTTACCTGTATTAATGGCACCTGTTTGAACTCATTATCTGTATGAAAGACACCTGTCCACAGCCTCAAACAGTCAGACGCCAAACTCCACTATGGCCAAGACCAAAGAGCTTTCGAAGGACACCAGGAAAAGAATTGTAGACCTGCACCAGACTGGGAAGAGTGAATCTACAATAGGCAAGCAGCTTGGTGTGAAAACATCAACTGTGGGAGCAATTATCAGAAAATGGAAGACATACAAGACCACTGATAATCTCCCTTGATCTGGGGCTCCACGCAAGATCTCATCCCGTGGGGTCAAAATGATCATGAGAATGGTGAGCAAGAATCCCAGAACCACACGGGGGGACCTGGTGAATGACCTGCAGAGAGCTGGGACCACAGTAACAAAGGTCACCATCAGTAACACACTACAACGGCAGGGAATCAAATCCTGCAGTGCCAGACGTGTTCCGCTGCTGAAAACCAGTGCATGTCCAGGCCCGTCTGAAGTTTGCCAGAGAGCACATGGATGATACAGCAGAGGATTGGGAGAATGTCATGTGGTCAGATGAAACCAAAGTAGAACTTTTTGGTATAAACTCAACTCGTCGTGTTTGGAGGAAGAAGAATACTGAGTTGCATCCCAAGAACACCATACCTACTGTGAAGCATGGGGGTGGGAACATCATGCTTTGGGGCTGTTTTTCTGCTAAGGGGACAGGACGACTGATCCGTGTTAAGGACAGAATGAATGGGGCCATGTATCGTGAGATTCTGAGCCAAATCCTCCTTCCATCAGTGAGAGCTTTGAAGACGAAACGTGGCTGGGTCTTCCAACACGACAATGATCCCAAACACACCGCCCGGGCAACAAAGGAGTGGCTCCTAAGAAGCATTTGAAAGTCCTGGAGTGGCCTAGCCAGTCTGCAGACCTCACCCCCATAGAAAATCTGTGGAGGGAGTTGAAAGTCCGTGTTGCTCGGCGACAGCCCCAAAACATCACTGCTCTCGAGAAGATCTGCATGGAGGAATGGGCCAAAATACCAGCTACTGTGTGTGCAAACCAGGTAAAGACCTATAGTAATCGTTTGACCTCTATTATTGCCAACAAAGGTTATGCTACAAAGTATTGAGTTGAATTTTTGTTATTGACCAAATACTTATTTTCCACCCTGATTTACAAATAAATTCTTTAAAAATCCTGCCATGTGAATTCATGGATTTTTTTTCACATTCTGTCTCTCACAGTTGAAGTGTATCTATGATGAAAATTACTGACCTCTGTCATCATTTTAAGTGGGAGAACTTGCACAATCGGTGGCTGACTAAATACTTTTTTGTCCCACTGTATCTATCTATCTGATGTAAAAGCTCAAAAATAGAAGATTGACCTCTAAACTCCTACTGAACAAAGAAATGGTGTCATCATGGCTCCTGGTCTGGAAAATGGTCTTTGAATCATTTGTCTTTCAAGTTTTCCCTAAAACACTCTGCTTATGGTGTCTGTCTTCTGCACAAGCCAAGGAGAAAGAGAGGAGGGTGTGAACAATGGAGAGCAATGCGGAAAGGGGGGATGGGCTCAAAGGGTCAGAGGTCAGACGGCTGTTAGGAAACAGAATGCACATACTTGGGGTAACTAGGCCGAGGACAAGAATCAGACAAACACACATTCTTTACAGGAAAAGGTTTCAGTAAAATGTTTATCTGTAAAAGAATATTCACACTGTCATTTAAAAATAACAATTAAACAATGTCTTGTTGTGTGGTTGTTTTGCTTTCCCCTGAAGTTTCTCCTTTTTGTGCCATAGAGTTAGCCTGGCAAGCCATCCTATATATGTGAATATTAAAATAAATTATTTAGCTTCAGTCTAGATTCTAGGCTACCAAAGTGTGACTATATTAATAAGATAACGGTGAAAATACCAGAAATCTGCATTTCAGACTGGAACTGATGACAGAATTAACATAATTAATATTTCCACATAAGAACATTGTTATATGCTCAGAATAAATGCTTGTTAGGATAGATATAAAATACTTTTCTACAGTTTTGTACACATCTCGAAGAAGTGAAACCAGTGCCCCCCCAGTGGACGAAGTAAAAGTGTAGAAAATATGTAACGAATATCACAGCGACGGATACAACCTACAGGAGGAAAGTATAGGTTTCATATTGCACGCGCATGGACCCTAAACACAAAAATATGGCATATCTGAATCCACTGAGTTCTCAGGGGGGCGGCGGATCACGTGACCACGGAGGGGTCCTAACAAAAGACTGCGGGAAGGAAGGAACTCGTTTCAAACCAATGGAAACGAATCAGAAAAACTGTCATTGTGTAACTAGTACAACAAACGCTCTGAATGATCCGTCAAAGTTCAGTTTGCGATCAGAATGAGACCGTAAAACCGATCAAGAGGCGTCGCTCCGCTGTACTCACCCCTAGCAACCGTTCTGCTAGCAACGACCAGACAACGACACGGAGGGGGAGGCAACTACGGAAGCGCAGGAAATGCATCAAAGACTAAACGTTATTTTTTTCATGCTTTTATTTATTTATTATTATTATTTTGTTGCTTCATGCTCATAAATAAAAGAAAGTCAAAGACGAAAAATAAAAAGTTGGGGGCTGCAAAGTGTGGAAAGATTAAGCAACAACAAATAAATAATTCATACCTGTTATGTCTGATTGGTCCAAGATATCTTTTACTAGTTTTTTTTTTTTGGGGTGGGGATTCTGGGAAGATGGCGGAGGGAACGGTTTAACTTTAGTGGGCTCTGATGCTTTTGTTGAAATCAACCTTCTAACTAGATATCAGTGAAGATAAACGGAACTACAAGCTACCGAGTTACCATTCTATCTCTACACCTGAAGGTCCTCCGCAGCATCATGGCTAACATTAGCAAAGAGCACGGCTACCACCTAGCGGCTCTTCAGCAGGCATGCTACTGAATTGATGGAGCAACAGCTCGACATACAGACAAGTCACAAGCTGACCGCCATCACACATCTGTGAAAAGCCAAAATCCAAAGAAAATGAAGGCCAACCAGTCGCAGACGCAGAAGGAAGTTTCTAGCACAGTCCTTCTCGATGCTATCCAAAAACTGATGTGTAAATTTGATACCCAAAGTGAACATCTAGAGTTACGAATTCCAGAAAATACCGACGCTGTAAAAAGTGAAGGAGTCTGTTGATGCCAAAACAGAAGCTGTCAAAAGTGTGGTGCAAGATGTGAAACGTATTAAACTACAGATGACAGTGCTCAAAAAAAGAGAATGAGGCGCTTCGGGAGATGTGTCTGGAGAGTGCGAGATATAAACGAAGATGGTGGTCACCGTTGCTTATTGGTGTTCCTGAGAAAGAGGAATATTAAAAAAATAATAATAATCTTTTACAAGTTATTGTTCGGTTTGGGCTTTTGTTACGGAGACCTCATTGTAAGATTTAACCACGTTTAAAATAAAATAGTCAATAATACCGTGAAACAAATAAATAAATATGAAAGTAAATAATTAGAAGAGGACATATTGGGTGACATGTAGCCTAATTTTTTACGTCCTCTTTCTAGTTATTAAATATGTATTAAAGTTTATTTACACATTTACAAAGTTTTATTGATTTTAGAAGCTTAGACATTGGCTGTCTTTTAAGCAACCGCATAATTTTTCTTTTCTTGGTGGTAATTTACTGAAGAGGATTTCTCCATTAAAAACGTACAAAAATATATTTTTCTACATTTATTTGTTTGTTTCAAGCCTAAATGCATTTCGGTTCTGCTATTTTAATATTTAGCTTTTTTTGTTTTGCTACTGCGTGTAAAAAACGGATTTAAAACGCTCAGGAGGGTTGTATTATTATTTTTTATTATTATAAAAACTTATTAAATTAAATAAAAAGAAATAAAAACGTGTCACCTGTTTCTGGAGATTGCGAGAATTATTTGCTTTATTTGTTTATTATTTGAGAATTATTTAGAAGAATGAAAGCACAGGTCACGTTTTCTAAATGCATGTTCTTGATCATTGTTTGTTTACCAAAATCAAGCGCGTTCTTTGTTGCCTGACGTCATCAGTATGCGCCAAATGTTGTTAGGTATGCACGAGGAGCTAAAAAGTTTATTTTCTTTTTAAAGTTGGGAAAAACGTCATGAAAACAAACGTTAACCGAATACGTTTGGTTATTAAAGTGTTCTGTTTGGATTGGAGTCAGAAATATAAACTCGGGGTAGGAATAAACAAGATGTGACCAAAAACCGGCGTTTGTAAACTCCAGAGGAGGAGAGGAGCTTCCTTAATGTAAGTTTTTCTTTTGTTTTAGCTGTGATTTAATCAGCTGCTGGTGGGCCAGAAACTATTAGTAGTTAATAAAGAGACTTTTAGGCGGTTTTATTGTGACATAAGAATGTAAATTATTACAATAATAACAGAAATGCTTACTTGACTGAACAATGAAAAAAGATCAATCAATCAATCAAATTTGATTTGTATAGCACCTTCTACAACATTATCCGAAGCCCAAGGTGCTGAACAACATAATTAAAAGAAAAACATTCTCAATACATGGGCATAAAAGCACGATAAAAACGTAAAATCATAAAATAGCAAGCAAACAGCATTACAGATAAGAGATATTGGAATAAGACCAATCGATTAAAAAAACAAATGTCAGACAAAATAAAATCAAGCATCTGGTATAAAAAGAATAGTTAAAACCATAATGTTAGGGCAATTCAAGTGACCCTAGCGCTGAAACGCAATCAGATAAAAATGAGTCTTTAAACGAGACTTAAAAACTTGAAGGGATGGAGCCTGTCTAATGCTCAGTGGCAATTCGTTCCACAGAGTTGGAGCCAAAATAGAAAAAGCACGACTACCCCTCGATCGATACTTCGACCGGGGGACCACCAGAAGTTCCTGCTCGGCTGAGCGAAGAGCCCGAGATGGAGCATACCTGTTCAAAAGCGCAGTAATGCACGGGGGGCACTGCCCTGGAGGGCCTTATAAACGAGAGTTAAGATTTTAAACTGAGCTCGATATTTTACCGGGAGCCAGTGCAGAGCAGCCAGCACTGGGGTAATGTGCTCTCGACATCTAGTGCCTGTCAGGAACCTAGCCACAGAGTTCTGCACAAACTGGAGCCGTGCAACCGTGCACTGGGCCAGACCAGCATACAGAGCGTTGCAGTAGTCCAGCCGGGACAGGACAAAGGCATGCAAGATAATTACAAAATCATCCCTCCCAAAATAGTAATACGTTTGATATGAATCAAAAGTGACCACTGCTTTCTATAATGTGCATCTTCATCATCATCAATCAATGAATCTTTATTTTCTTTATTTATTTCCACTGCCTGCTGGAGCCCAAGGCGCTGAACATAAAATACAGTAAAAACACAGATAGCAATAAAAAGAAGATGAAAACAACATACAGACATAAAAGCACCATACAAAATGTACACAAGGAGCATAAAAGCATACAACCAGGTCACATAAAAGCCAAACCATAAGAAATGAGTTTTAAAACGACTTTTAAACACATGCAGCGAAGGAGACGGTTTAATATCAAGTGGAAGCTAATTCCAGAGAGAAGGAGCCAAGACCGAGAAAGCCCGATCACCTCTAGACCTGTACCTAGTTTGTGGGACAGTCAGCATCTCCATCATCATGCTTATGTAAACAAAGTGTAGAGTGAAGTAACAGGCTCACAACTTTTAAGTCATGCTGTGATGTAGAGTACACCTCAGTGTTAAGACTTAAACAAAACAAAGGACCCGCATATAGGCCTCTCTCACACACATACAAATGCTTGACAGGTATGAGTAAAAAAAAGTGACATAGAGAACAATTAAACTAATTGTAAATATGAAATTATCCATTCCAAAATACAAGTACTTTGCATATAAAAGAAAAGTCTGCACTGCTTTCCTTAATGTGCATCATCACTCTTATGTAAACAAAGGACAGTCAAGTCCTCGGCTCACAAATTTGAAGTCGTGCTGTCTTGTCCAGTACTACTCCATGTTCACACTTCCAACAAAACAACTACAGGTTGTTTACCTGCTGCTGGTTGCACACGTAACAACGCCTAGGTGTCTTTTTTTCTCGGTATCTGGGAGGCAGTCATTCCTAGGCAGAGCGTGTGAAACCATCTTGAAAAACTTCCATGTAGAATCTAACAAGGACAAAGAAATGCAACTACATAACCTTTGTTCCATGGCACTTAATTACAATATTTTCTGATCAATTTCATCATGCCATCACCGTTAATCTTTACTACAAATGATCAGTGAAAATGTACAACATTAGTATTATCAGTACACGTGTTTAGATCTTCTCATGTCAAATATTGATGGAATGGATCTTTTTTTTACATAGGTACTACCAAATAAATGAGTAGGGGGGCAAATAATAAATAGCTTCAATTATCATTAAACCATGTATAGCAACCTTGGGTATCTGACACCCTAATGGGTTTCCCACAAGATTGCAGGGGGCCCACACACTTTTGTCTGTGATGAAGTTGTGAGGTTCTAAAGATGATAATTTTCAAAATTACATTTATAAATAGCTCTGGACAAAAACAATTGTACAATCAACACTTTGTGTTAGAGTTACAACCAGGCTACAACCCCTTATGGATATATAAATGTATAATTATTCACTTTGATGTGTGTGTGTGCATAAGGCTTGTGTCTGTAAGGTGCTTGACTCATGTTGGACACAAACAGGAGGGTGCTTGTGGGGAAAAACAAATTGTGAACTGCTGCTCTAAGGTCCTTCATCCAGTCACTCACACATAAAAGCAGGGGTAGGGAACCCTGGTCCTGGAGAGCCACTATCTAGCACATTTTAGAGGTTTCCTTGCTTCAACACATTTGATTCACATGTTCAGCAGCTCACGAGGCTCTACAGAAGCATGTTAATCACCTGCTGATTATTATCAGGTGTGTTGATGCTGGTGTAATGATAATAGAGGGTAAATTGGGTTAAGTAAATTGCTTGAAAAGCTATTTATATTATTACCACTACTTGTGACCAGTAAGTGGTGATACTCTATATTACCTGCTTGGCCTTATTGTTTTTGTCAGAAGACTCTAAGGTTCTTTTATTCATTAAGGGATCGTACACACTTCGCTTTGATTCAAGAAACAGTCAGGTTTGTAAACAAATTAAGAATTTATTTACAAACACTTAAGACTTGACAAATTGTTTAAACTATTATTTACTGTGAGTGGATGCGAACTAAAGGATAGTCTGGAACCTTTGTGTGAATATTGTATTCAGAATCTCCGTTCTCTAAGATGAGTTCTGGATATAAAAGAATTTGGTTTGCATTAAGCTATAAGTTGTTATTATCAAAACCACATGCAGACGCTATCTCGCTGTGCTCTACCTCACCCGTTTGAATCCAAGATGTCCAGGAGCCGACGACCCCACAGCACCTGGTTCGTAGAGAAACCTCGATGCGACCAAATCAGTCCTCAGATGTCTCCGAGTCACAACGATGGATGAAACCAAGCGTCTTAAAAATAACTCTGAAGGAGTTTTGAGTCAGCTTAGTTCTGCAGGAAACTATCTTGTTGTTTCAGCTTCGCAGGTGCAAAAAAGGTTTAAGGTTTTGACAACGTGTCAAAATCCTTCTGGTTAAAGAGGTCTGCTAAAGATGGCCGGTCTAAAGCTTTTCTCTAGAACCCTCGAACTGTTGAACTGTTCGAACCGTTTTGTCTGAAGTTGAACTGCGGGAAAAACCAGAGTAAAACTAGTTTGAACGGATTGATGTTATCTTGAATAGCCAACCAGAAGTTGGCATGTTTGAGGAATATTACCAAGTATCGCAGAGACACACCCTCTGTGATGGAGGCTCTGAATTAGGGCTGGGCAATATGGCCTCAAATTTATATTGCGATATAATCGGAAGCGTGTGCGGTAACGATATATATTGCAATATATTTTGTCCTCTGTTGTTATATGTCAAAATGACATGCTTTTAAATATCCTCATGTGGCAAATATTTGCCACTTGAGGCATATAGGCCTCCTCCTCCACCCACTCCATGCTTGCAGTCACTGCCATTCTGCTGCCCCAATGTCAACAGGGTGCACATCTTAGTGACGTCATGTGTTATCGCGGTATTGCGATGTAGCCCAAAACTCTATCATTACCCAGATTTATATCGTTTCCACCTTATGTCGTTTATATTGCCCACCCCTACTCTGAATCTAGGCAAAAGGTCAACTATGCCTCATGCGTTAACTTAGCTTTACTTGTGAGTGCAAATGTTCTGACCTCGTCAAGTAAACATACTAAAACAATCATTGAGCACAGATTAATGAAACACTTCATTATTTATAATTAGCAATAACAAAAGTTCATTCAGTGATTATTTTTAATTATAAAATCTTCTTTTCTTCTTCCATCTGGGAATTAAGGAGTTTCCTGTGATGGACCTTGGAGGAGAAAATTGTTATTGTTTATTTCTTTATTATCTCTGCAGTCCAGCTGGTGTGAGGAAGTAGGCTCCTCTGATTAAAGGGCCTACATGCAGACTTCGAGACTCCTGTGAGGGGAAAAGATACTGTAGGATGTCATAGCCAGGGTAAGTTGACCTGGCTGTGCATTTGACCTGTGGGATCTCAAAATCAGGCCATTTCGTGACGTTACAATGGGTAGTAGGGCTACAACAACGAATCGATAAATTCGATGAAAATCGATTACTAAAAGCGTTGGCAACGAATTGCGTCATCGATTCGTTGTGTTGCACAACTCTTCCAAAAGCCCCCTCCCCTCCCGCCCGCCGTTGCGTGCAGACCGGAGAGCCGGCAGGTGTTTGGAAGAGGAACATGGCAGAAGCAGCGAGACCCAAAAAAAGTAAAAACTTCTAAAGTTTGGGAGCATTTTCAGTTAAATCAGGCGAAGACATTCGTTACCTGCAACGTTTGTAGGTCAGACTTAGCATGGCACGGGAGTACTACAGTGATGATGCAGCATCTGAAACGCAAGCATGTCAGAATCATCAGCGAGGAAGGAGAGAGCTCGGTGTCCGGGTAAGTTAAAAACTTTTCAAAAGTGATTCACCCAAGCCCCGGATTATTACACAGGCTAGACATGCCCTAAGCTCATAAAAAAAAGTCTATAAAATCGTAAGCGCGACGCCATTAGATAGGCGGGGGGGGGGGGGGGGGGGGGGGGGGGGGGACTCGCGCCACTGCCATTTCTGTAATATACTTACACATCTATATTATTGCTAATATATATTGTAATATATATATATTGTAATACATCTATATCACAGCTAAAGCACTTCTGGATGGATGCAAACTGCATTTCGTTGCCCTGTACCTGTACATGTGCAATGACAATAAAGTTGAATTCTATTCTATTCTATTCTATTCTATTCTATTCTATTCTATTATCCGTTTATAGCTAAACATAAATGTTAAACGTCTGCCTCGCTATCAGAATTAGTAGTATTGTAGTTATCGAAGAAGATTTTTCACAAATTATACAAATCTTTTATTGGTGAGAATTTTCTAATTATTTCATTTATCAGGATTTAAAGATGCTTCAGCGAATCTGCAAACAAGCTAGGTTTTGAACGCAAACATGGTCATGGGCTACACATTCTTGTGTATAGCCTCTGTTGTTTCCTACTCTCACATTGTACTCTCATCACTGGTTGATCGTGTCAATCCTTGAGTGTATTTTCTGTCATCAATTGTAGACCGGGGTTGTACATTTTCTGACTCTGCTTGAAGACTTTCAGAAGCTGGATTTGGTTGTGAGAGTGCACAATCAGCATTGGTGGGCCGGTCACTACAGTTAACGCTCATGTGCACAGTTTTTCATCATAACTATTCACAACTAAACATTTGTCTACAACGGCCGAAAAACACAGCGTGAACCAGGCTTTAGACAATGTTGTGGACTTCAGAATACCGGGGATGTGTGTTGGGAAAAAAATGCAGTAATCTGTTTTATCACAGTACAGGAGAGACGATACGATGTATGGTGATTCTTAAAGAGCAAGTCACCCCCTACCAGATTCTTATTCCACTCCCACTTTGTTTGAAAAATGCAACAAATGCTGTTACCTAGCAAACCAAGACGGCAGAGCTGCTAACAAATACACACACACTAACTCTCAACAGCATTGTGACATCATCTTGTACCAGCTAATGTCATAGTGTAGATCTTAGCCAATAGCGATGGCAGATTTAAATTCAAATGCATTGCAGTGTTTTTACCTGAAGATGGCGCAACACTGACAGTTTTAGGCAGAATATTTAAAATTTCACTCAGATGCACTAAAGTGCCAAATTATTGACTGCACACGTCTACAGCATGATTGGACACTCATTAATATAGTTTATCATTTGGGGCTAGCGATGGGTACCGAATTTGGTACTTTTTAAGGTACCGACCGAATTCCATAGTACCGACTGGGCACCGATTCACGTCATTTGAAACGGTGCTTCGTTTCGGTACCCGTCCTTCATAACGAGAACTTGCTTAGACAGCTGCGCATGCGCAAGAGCGTTATGTCATCGGTCGCTCTGAGCCAGTTGTAAACAGAGCAGCATGGTAGAGAGAACGCACGCTAAAGCTTTGGTCCACTTCACTAAATGTGATGGGTAACTGGGTGATGATGAAGCCAGCGACAACGATCTAAGTGAGACATCCTCATCTTAAAGATGTTTGCTTCAGTTTAATTATCAGCTTATAAAACTACAAGGACAATGTTAAAATACAAACAGTTGTATGTTATTTATCATGATCAGGGATGTGTATTTTTGAAATTCTGGTGATACGATACATATCATGATACAGGGGAGACGATACGATAAATCACAATATATTGCGATACATTCAGTCAGATGTCACATGCAATTTTTTTTTACTGAATTTATTGTAAGAATGTTCAATAAACAGTCCAAACTGATACATAACATGTTTAACATGAGGTATCTGAACCATGATGGAGGGATTTACAGTTAAATGGTGGAAACAAAACCTGTTGCACACTGCTGCCAACTAGCGGGTGGTGATTAAATTGCACAAAATGAAAAGAAAATACACAAAAGTTTGCATGTAAATTCTTTCAAGAATTAGATGCACGGCTTTTGAATATCGATGTAATAATCGCAGGAAAAAATATCACGATATATTGCCATATCAATATTTCCGATACATGGCTTTTGAATATCGATATAATATTGCTGGAAAAAATCACGATATATTGCCATATCGATATTTTCTTACATTCCTAATCGTGATATTTATCAAATATGGTTATATATTGAGAAAAATATATATTTAATTATAAAAGAGAATTAAAATATGAAACACTCAAAAGTATCGAAAATTGGTACCGTTAAGTACCGGTATTGATTCCTAGTACCGGGAATTAGTACCGAATCAATTCAAATGTCAAAGGCACCCATCCCTATCTGGGGGTGACTTGCTCTTTAGGATTTAAGACTGAATTTACTTACCTAACCCAGGCCAGACGCTTCCAAGACACATTCAGTGTTTTTGCGAGGTTTCATTATGTCAGAATGAGGGCGGTCATTTTTGCTGCCACCTAGCAGTCGGAGTTTGAATTGCACCAGACAATTCAGTAAATATATTTGCAAGTAAAATCACAATAAATGGTTGGTACGCTGTTTTTAAATATCAGTTTAACTAATAATGAAGTATCTTATCATCATCATTATGGGATTCATACAAACTCTCACAGGTGATGGAGTCTGATCATGAACCAGTAATGTCCGTTTTCCTGGTTGTGTGTAAAATAAAAGTCTGATTAAACCAGCTTCCTTTGGCCCATGTTGATTAACGGTTACTGGTGTTTGGTTTTTGTCTTTCAGGATGCTTCAGTGTTTTTGTGCTGGTTGAAGCTTTGGGGGAGAAACAGAAGCAAAGCAAACATGGTGGGAAGACCTGGAAAAAAGAGGGGGGATGAAGAGGAGGAGAAAACTCGTCAACATGAGGAGGAAGAAAGAGGAGAGAAGGACCAAATACGGAGACTTCAATCAAAATACGGGGTAGGACATGAGAAGAGCGAGACAGGAGTGATGGAGACTACCCATGGAGACAAACCTGGTAAAGATGGACACTCCCCCATCTCCTCCTCCACCATCACCTCCATCTCGTTCATCTCCTCCTCTGTTAGCCGAGGGAGTTTAGAAGAGGATGAAGTTAGAGTTTCCATAGTTACGGTCGAGGACGAGTCCTGTCCATCTGAGCCGTTAGGCACCACCCTCATTGACCCCCACAGTCAGTTTGTGCTCGGGGAAAACGAAGAGGAGCACGGAGGAGAGGAGGAGACAAAGAATGAGGAAGAGGAGGAGGGAGAAGGAGCAGTTGTGGTCCACCTGCAGCAGGTAGGACTCCTCCATGGTCATGAATGTAATAGTAAACCTAACCAAGTTCATGGAAGTAGTGGTCACATTATTAGGAACACCTCACTCATACCAGGTCTGACCTCCTTTAGCCTTTAGAACAGCCTTAAATCTTATAGAACCAACCAGGTGTTCCTCAGATGTTCTGGTCCATACTGACATGACAGCATCCTGAGATCCGGTGGCTGCGGAGGTCATTGGAGTCCAGTGAACTCATGGTCATGTTCTAGAAACCAGTTAGAGATGATCTGAGCTTTGTGACATGGTGAATGATGCTGCTAGCTGTGGGGTTTAAACCAGGCTCAGGTTAAGGGGTCCAAAGTGGGAACATCTAAATCACACCATTTCACCCCCCACCATGCTGAAGCATTGATACAAGGCAGGATGGATGGACCCATGCTGTCATGATGGTGACACCAAATTCTGAGAGCTAAAATCCAGACCAGGAAAGGTTTTTCTAGTTTCCTCTGGTCCAGTTCTGGTGATCCTGTGGTTTCTTGTTTCCTGTTCTTAGCTGACAGGAGGAACACCTGGTGTGGTCTCCTGCTGCTGGGCTCCATCTGGAGCAGCTGGTGTTCTTCTGCAGACCTCATTGTTTTTTTTAGCTGCAGTTGTCTCTCTATCACCTAGAACTAGTCTGCTCAGTCTCTGGAAACCTTACAGATAGAATAGAATAGACTTTATTCACTTATAACAGCAGCACCAACACTTATATCGAAAAGTAGTAACAAAGGTACATGTGTATACACATAGGCAGCGATCTAGTATTGTAACCTTCCACCACTAAAAACCACAAATAAAAAAGGAAACCTGGGTTCCAGGACTACGCAGCTACTGTGTGACCCCGGTTTCACACTGAAAGCGTCAGTGGCGCGGAACGTCACTGCTTCAGATAGAATCCATTATAGTCTATGGAACGTTTCAAACCAGCAGCGACGCGGCATTCTCCAGGCGCGTCCCAGAAGCGGCACGCCGCGCCGCCAAAGATAGGATCGGGTTCTATTTTTGCCGCGTGCCGCTTCTGGGATGCATCAATTTCCGCAGTTGACATAGTGCTAGACAGGAAATCACACACGGTTTCAGTGTAAAATCCCTGTTGAATTTAAAAAATAAAAGTACTGCAGCGATGCAGTTTCCTATATATGAAGCTTACGTATGACCCAGTGGCTTTTTTCATTCCAGAGGTGCAGCTGTGTGTTTTCATGGCTTTGTTCCTGGCAGTGGAGAGGAACAACATCATATGTGACATCAAACAGCGATATCAAAAGTGATTTCTTTCTTTTTGGTTTAATGGCGGGTTGCAGAAACGATCCGTGACCTGAAGTCTCGAGGGATCTTGTAATCTTGCAAGTCCAGTGAAGAGCACAGCGAGGAAACCGTGCTGCTGCCAAGACTCTCCCGGTGTGAGAAGGACCACTTTCAGGTTCATGAGTAAACTGTTCCACTGCCGTTTCGCACCGCTGATGCTTTCAGTGTGAAACCGACGTAAGAGACACAGACATACTATGTAAATCTGGTATTGCATGAGTATTGAAGATGTAGGAAATATTGCATTGGTGTTATTGTGTACCAGGATAATGCCAGTACCAGTTAAACTGAGGAGTTATACAGTCTTACTCAGGATTTTTCCTGGCTCAAATTGAGACAGAGGTGGTGCCATCCTGACCATGCGCCAGCACATGTATAGAACTCCGGACGTCACGTGACTCTCAGAGAGTAGAAGCCATGTTGGCAGGCAACATATGTAAACAAAATGAATGGGATCGGCTTGGATTTTACTTCGTCGGAGTTTACTTCACACTTTAAAACCGAAGAAATTGTTTTATATAGTCAGAAATTAAATAGACTAAACATCTCCGACCCTTACCGTGCCCCTGGGATACTTTTTAAAAACTCCAGAAGCTGTCGGAGCGGACTTCTTACCGGACCTGGCCGGGGAACCCCTTGGGATTTCCCCGGAGGAGCTGGCCCAAGTGGCTGGGGAGAGGGAAGTCAGGGCCTCTCGACGCTACTGCCCCCGCAACCCGACTCCAGATACGCGGATGAAAATGGATGGATGGATGGACAAATAACAGATTTACATGTAAGTAGTTTAAATAGAGTGCTGTGCTGTTTGAATGTATAAACTGAACGCCAAGAGAAATCACTAGTCAGATTTTTTCTGTGAATAAAATAAATATGTCAGGCAGGAGCGTCTCAGGATCTGTCTGAGATCTGTCTCGGTGAGACAGATAATAGCAATCCAAAGTGCTTTTTAAGTGTGATCTGACAATTGATCAACCATTGCTTAAAAATTAAATACAGCTTAGCCGGTTAATTGCTGTCATCATAAAACACGTAAACGGCAGCACGCAGAACTCACGAGGCAACGTTTTACGTGATGTTTACTTGCTGCTATGAGTAATAAGACAGAAAAAGCCACGCCAAAATAAGTTTAGGAAGCCCACTAAGAATCGTAATAAAAGCATTTAAAATAAATACCATACACAGTCGAGGAAACGTTGGTTTGATATGAAGCGGTCGCTGCATAAGCGAAAACCTTTAATCTCGGGATCCCACAGCTTCATGTAAGCCCGGTCACTAGTGCGTTTTATTACAATGATCCAACGTTTGCGGCGCTCCGGATCTTGGGGAATCCTGTAGATGGCTCATTCCTTATGTCGTCCGCGTCTGTTCTGCATCCTGGGTCACAACAGGAATCTACCATATTTCCCGTTTGATTGAGTTTTCTGACAATAACGAATAGTCCAGCTGCCAGCTTCTGCCTGCCAATATGGCGCCGTTTCAATTTGAACTGTTGCATACTGGGAGAAGTGACGTCAACTCCCGGAGCTCTATACTCACTTGCCTCACTTTTTTAAAGGCAAAATATTATAAAAGGCTCAATAATATGCATTAAATTAGTGTTTAGTTCCCTTTTTCCCATTTGATATTTATAGTTAAAAATATTTAAAATACTTGAACTACATTTCAGGAACATTTTAGGTTTGTATTAATAACACTCATCTTAGTCAAAATAACACATAAATATATCCAGTAACATATAATGCATTTCATTAACATGCATTTGTATTGGAAATGGTAATAACATTTAATTTCTGCTGCTAACAATGTAATGGTGGCATGTCTATTATGTACGGGTTGGCAATAATCCAGTTGAAATCATGTTCAAAGATAGAAGCGTTTGTCAATTGTATACTACAAGGGCTTGCCGTACTTCCTGCTCCTGTAGCAGTAATGTGACTCATATCTGCAGCGGTTCTGATCCGTAGCGCTGCAGGATGCAGAACAAACAGGATGGTGGGGACTTTTCATCCACTTGTAGAGTTTAGTCTTTCTTAGTTTTAACATCATCATATATTTTTTGTGCGCCACTTGATCGTGACACTGCTACCTGTTAGCTTTAGCATTAGCCAACCTGCGTGTAGCTACACTTTTGATCCAAAACTTTGGACCAGTTCTGCTTTTGCTGGTTCCTTTATTTTCCTCCACTGCATCCAGATTTTCACACTGCACCAGTAAAAAGCATTTTTCTTACACGTAACTTACTTTTGTTCAGTAAAGTTCTGGGGAAAATAGTAATTCAAAGATGTTGCACCAGTGCTACGTTTAAAAATAGACAGACACGCACAGACAGTTGTTTTCGTCACACTGTACAGCCCTGCTCTGATATGGAAGAGCCTGGGGGGAAATCAGGACGTCAATAGCACCAACCACAGATATGTACCGACTAGCGAGAAAAGCTATTTTTGATCTTTTTCTGCAGCGGTTTTGGCGCTTTTTGGTGCACCGCTGCTGATACAGCGCCCCTCTAGTGGCGCACCGCTGCAACTGCAGTTAAAATAACAACCATATAGCTGGGGGCAGAGTGAAATCAGGCTGGGGTGGCACAAAATTAGCCGGAGGCGGCCGCCACGCAAATTTGAATGCAGGAAAAATCCTGTTGCTGAGGCGATGAATGACCTCTGTAGCATTCTGTTTTACATCTGGGATGTCTCAGTCTGCCTCTGAAGGAGCTGTCCATGGTCTCCTGCGATGGTTGCGGGTGTAAATCCCAGTAGATCAGCAGGTTTCTGAAACACTCAGACCAGATTCCAGCAGCCACCTTTTGTTGGATGTCTTCTGGTTATTCGTCAGTGTTAACAAACACCAAGTAAGAACCTCTAGAATAACAACATTACATAAGCTCCCACTGAGAAGACATTTTATAGCTAATGTGAAAAACCAAAGCTTCAGGTGTCTAACAGGCTCATTTTGTTCAGTTGAATCTTTTTTATTCTAACAAACCAGAGTTATGATAGAAATCCACTGATTTTACTGCTGGATCAGGTCTAGTCAGCCAGCAGGGGGCGACATTCATCGATAAATCAGTCAGACAAACCTCAAAGATTGTGTGTGTGTGTGTGTGTGTGTGTGTGTGTGTGTGTGTGTGTGTGTGTGTGTGTGTGTGTCTCTTGTAGGGCTGGGGGTAAACGATTATTTTTAAAACGATTATTCTGACGATTATTTTATCGAATAGTCAACTATTCTAATGACTATTTAGAAAATTAATCTAATGATTATTTTTCTATTGCACAATTAACAAAAACCAGAAAATCTCAAATAAATTCCTCAAAAAAATGGATAAATTCTTACTGTAAAAGAATAAACACTACAGGCCTTCCATTTTGTATAACACTGCTTTTATTGTGTTGCGGTTGGTTATGTTCTGGTGACGTGTAGAACTTGGGAGTGCAGGCTGCTGCCTGAGAGGTGGTAGAAGATGGAGTGTCTCCATGCTGCTTTGTTTTGGTCACTTATGTGCGTGAGGCGAGTGGTCTTACGGGTTAAACCAAACTCAGGTGATATTTTACACTAAACCGAAAACCCACAACAGTCTAAATGTAATAAAAGGGAGATCTACACCACAAAAAAGATGAACTCTAAACCAAAACGTAACAGCTTATCCAAACGCAAGAAGCTGTTAGCGAAGATGCTAACAG